TCTACTGACATATGACACACCGACTTCGACAATCGAACTCGGGTTACATATGTGAGAGGTAAGCGCTCTCACCGCTACGCCGCATCCGTGCTTTCCATAAATATAGACTCAGGGGCCCCGTCCACACGTATCCGGAAATTTTTGTATCCGCAAATTATTTTTTGGACGGGGTGGACGGGGCCTCAGTTGGCGTGGATTTCTTTCGCCGTTCTGATGCCTACTAATGTTGTACATAAATGAATAACTAGCTGGCGTCAATTGCACTTGTCTAGTGTGTACTCTGCCGTAGTGGGCCATTTGATTATTCCGGAAGTATTTAACTGATGTCTCTACGATTTTTTCTTCGCTAGCGTTTTCTATTTTCGATATTATTTTCAAACGAGTTGAGATACTGCGTTGTATTTAATAGATATTATCAAACTCATGAATAATTAATGAGGAAAACACAACAGAAATCACGAYCGTGAAGAGTGTTGTAAATCTGATACAAAACTTTGTTCATTTGCACAAGGGCACTAGGACACCGAATGTGGTTGGATTTCTATAGGTTTTTCCCCTTTCGATTATTTGAATTAAATTAACGTTATATACTTGTTTACTTATCTTGTGTCCGTGTTCCTTCGTTGTCTTCGTTCGCTGTWRTAGTGCAGACGTTTTCATTCCAAGGGTCAATCGGTTTGAATAGCCTACGAGCGTTACTTCTTTAACGGCCGTTCCGTACTTGACTCTGTTTGTACTATACCAACAACAACGCGACCGCGCGATGCTCCTTACGTCAGTAATATTCAACCGTCCAGAGTTAATATGGTTAATCAAATTCACCTTAAGTTCCATATATATAGCTCTATATGGAACTTAAGGTGAATTTGATTAACCATATTAACTGGACGGTTGAATATTACTGACGTAAGGAGCATCGCGCGGTCGCGTTGTTGTTGGTATAGTACAAACAGAGTCAAGTACGGAACGGCCGTTAAAGAAGTAACGCTCGTAGGCTATTCAAACCGTTTGACCCTTGGAATGAAAACGTCTGCACTACAACAGCGAACGAAGACAACGAAGGAACACGAACACAAGATAAGTAAACAAGTATATAATGTTAATTTAATTCAAATAATCCAAAGGGGAAAAACCTATAGAAATCCAACCACATTCGGTGTCCTAGTGCCCTTGATTTGCATAAACTTTAAGTTGGATTTTCTTGGCCAGATTCACTTTAATTTTGAAAATTTTAGTGAAACACAAAGGAACTAACCAGTAGACGTTTGATAAGTCATA